CATAGGGATCCTGCGGGCAGTTCTCCATGTAGGGATTACGTTCGTCAAGGACGATGCTGCTCCAGCGGTAGTTGATCCCGAGCATCTTTAGCGGGCCGTCGCGGCCCCAGGCAGCGAGCCCGCTCCCGTCGTTCCGCATGAATTGGGTCTTATCGTGGATGCTTGTCGTGCGTTTCAGAACTTCCGCGATGACAGGCACGCGCTCAGCGGTGTAGCTCGAGAGGAGGGACGGTCCGGCGAGCCCTTTCTCGACGAGCGCGAGTTTCCAGGCGAGGTTAAACTGTACGAGCGGGCGGCAGTCGGGCAACGTCATTTATGGCCGCCCGATGGAGAAGCTGGAGAGAGAACGTACTGCGTCCTGCACACCGGAGTTGGAGCCCTGTCAGTGCCGAGTGCATCGAGGTCAGCGTTGTCGACGCCACGGTCGTAACGACCCTCACCTGCGCGCCAAAGAACGGGTGGGCATGGCAAGCATCTGGACATCGTTGCTCTTGTATCATTCGGCCAGCAGGTGACACACAGCGACGTACCTCCCACAAGGAATACCCTCCCTTTACTGAATTTCTCGGTCATCCGAATATTCGGCCTACGCTCACTTCAGTACATACGCCGACTCAGCTACCAGGCGGGACTCACGTCGTTTCGTACAGCCACGTAGGCTCGCCGACCTCTAGGTCCTCTCTGTGTGTGCCAGCCTTTACGGCCTTTGCCAGCTCCTCGTGATCCGAGACAGCCTTCTCATGGTCAATCTCCCCGCCCATGATCAGATGAAAGGTGCCGGGCGTCTCGGTGGCCCGTAGTGACACTCTGTCAAGCTGGCCGGTGAGGCGATGTCCATCGAGAAGGAAGAAAAAACGGCGCACAGGATGGTCATGGGATCCCCCCAGACGTGCCAGTACTGATAGAGCGTGAGCTGGTGCAAACGGTCGCTTCGAATCGCTTACCTCGTCGGATAGGTCCTTGACTTCGAGGTCGCCCGATACGAACCGTTGTTCGACACCCCGAGTTTCGCCGCTAAATTGTAGGCCCAGCTGCTTGCGTATAGAGCCTGCTCATACTATCGTAAGAGGACGCTAGCGACGGAAACACACAGGCGGGCGACATACCTTTCGCGCCATCAGCACCTATCATCCACTTGCATTTAACGGTCTCGGTGATATCCTGGTCGATTCCCGACTTGACTATCTGTGCTTCGACGTGGTCCTCGAGCTGGCTGAAGTCAGTCATCGTCGTCTTGAACTCGACGGGACACCCGAGCTTCTCCAGGTGTTCCTGCAACAGTTTCTCGAGTCTATCTTGCCCAAGCGAACGGATGTTGATCTACGGCCGCGCACGGGTGAGCGCTGGCGCGCACAGAACCCGTGGCAGGACATACCAAGGGTGTGGATGGAGTTGCTTCTTTCAGCTCCGCCAAGTAGAACTCCTTCAACACCTCGTTGCCCCCAGGCAGCTTGTAGACCCTCGTGGGGATTAATGGCCGACCGCGTTCCAGTACTTCTGGAAGAAGACCCAAGAAGTGGTACAATTCGAGCGAGCGAGGCTATTTACATATGAACAGATCAGATATTCAGTCAAACGGCTTACGACGAAAGAAGCTACCATGATGCCTGTCCCGCGCTGCCCCTTGTGAGTTCCTGCTTCCTTCTCGACGATGCGCACTTTGATGCCATTCTTGATCAACGTCAGGGCTAGCACGAGCCCAACGGGCCCCGCTCCGACCTAGCAAAAATCAATGGACAATTCGGCGAGCACATAGACAGAGGACCGACTATTAAGACGGGGATATCGACTTCAGAGGCGGGGGACATGGTGATCGAGAGCCGAGTGGCGGGGGCTCGCTTCCGAGGCAACGGGTAGGACCTGAGATCGTGCGCGGGGTTTCGCATCTCCAGATCCGTGCCGCCTAATATACAGATCTTCGCAGCGTGCGAGGCGAGGTCATCGCTCTTGCGTCATGCGTGTCATAGTCCATTTCCCTCGGACTGACTGTTTGACATGGAGGGTAGCACGCGTCTCGTTGGTTGATTTGGGCCGCACCTTTGGTATGGGCGGCCACAGGACGGCAGCAGAAGCGCGAATTCGGGTCGTCTGGGAAAGCTGACAAGCATTTCAAGGCACATGGCATCCTCCTGATTTACTTTGATCCCGGGCCTACGATCTACGCCCTTCAACGCTTCACATTTCTCTTCACATGGTTCTGACTCGGCGTCTCTAGTCGTCGTTCAATGTGCAGTGGTTAGGCGATGAATTGCTCTACTACGTCCTTGAGAATCGGACGTGCTCGCAGCAAGTGTGGATGATCACTGGGGAGAGAAGCATATTGGCTCTTACTCAGTAGTACGTGGCTAATGAATGGCGGCCAATGTCAGAATAAGTTCTGTAGTTCTAGATCTGATGGAACGCTCGGTAGCCTCATGTGGAATAGTAACTAGGGCGTTCAGGCTAGAATCTGGGCACTGGTTCGAGACAACATGATGAGCAAGTGATCAGTATCCCTGCCAGCGGCAAGCCTACCGCGGCCGGGGCTCAAGCTCAACTTGAAGCTTCAAGATGTTATGGGGGTCCTCAAGGCGGCACGGATTACATTACATCCTTGCAACCCTGCACGCTCGCTCGTACCGTCGCATGGAGTCCGTGAGTATATAATCATCGTCGTTAAACCGCTGTGCTAATTTTCTGTGCGGCCTCACGGAACAGAATTGTCGGCCGCGACGTCGATATGTCAAATATACAATGCAGACTAGTAGAGACATCTGTGAGGCATCCACAGCACGTAACCTAAATGTTACGGGCTTCCACTAACCATAGATGAGCACCGACTCGGACCAAAACTGCCTGAGTATGCCCACGAATTGATAAGACCACAATGGTCTGTTACTTGCAGCCGCGGGGAAAGCATTCGATGGTCATATGTGGCGTACTTGATCATTTCTTGAGAATTTAAATTGAAGGAGTAGACAGACATCGGTATGGACGAGTATTGTATGCTCGAGACTGGCATTCGATTGTAACAGGAATAGGTTTTCGTCGATACCAGCAGCGATAAATGTTGCCATAAGTAGCTAGACGTCGACGACAAGTCAAATTTGAAAATCACCGAGCGCAGCAGGCACCGATAATTGGGATCGAGATTCGCGAGCGCCTGTGGCGTCCATCTCGATCCCAGAGCGTCTCATTGCCAAACGTTGAACTCCATCGCTCAACTCGCTTGATACCGATCTTGGATTGACCAGAGATATTTCCAGGATTATAAGTCACCACTCAAGAAACTGACTATACGCCGTTCAGGTATGTATCAATTATTGGCCACCTGTGTATCGTCATGCAAAGTGCGCTGATCTGACGCCCAACTCGTAATTCAGGTCCAGAGTAGCATCCCAAGTTCAAATAATCGCGCTTCCTCACGTTCAAAACGTCTCTTCCGTGGTTCTACTATTCGATACTAGCTACTTGGTCTTGGTAAGGTATCCCACCACAATCTTCGTCCTGTGAAGTGTGCTGACTTGCCGATGTGAGCGAGTCACCACGACGAACTCTGATATAGAGCTGTGCCTTCGGGGGCACTTCGTCATGACTGACTGGACAAACAAACTCTCGTCACCCCAGGGCGAAACAGAGGAGGTTCTCGGCCTCCATGGAGGAAAATCTGTAGCGTTGAATCACCTCAGGAAGGAATCGCTGGACATCCATAACCGTCTACACTCAATTTCAGAAGACATCGACTTCGTGAAGACAGTACGATCAACCTATCCCCATCTGCCAATCTTGCGTGAGTCCCAGCTCCTGCTACCCCAATGCGTCCGGACATGACCGTTGACGCCGAGATCAGCCAATCAACGCTGTGGGCTCTGGTATGTTGACCCACAGATGGTGCGTGTTGCTCCTTGGGGTTGCCGGCGGAATACATTATGACTGAATTCCAAAGGCCAGACAAGAGCCAGCCTACTTCAAGTCCACTGATGGACACTTTGGGAACTGGAGCTTCAACTTGAGACGACCAAATCTGCATCTGCTTTCCATGATCGTGTCGGAAGGAGGGTGAGCCGACCATCCCCTATAGGAGAGGGTTCACCGATATGGACGCCTGTGACAGGATGATATTGGTCGACTCAACACGTTCCGGAAAGCGTATTCCCGATGCGCTGTCGAAGACGGTCCCGATCTGGTGTGCAGTCATCAATCGCGCCGTCCAGCGGAAGTATCCAGACAGACACAAAGTCGACTGGGATCTGGAGCTGTACTGCCCATTCGGGACCGTTAGCGCACAAGAGAAGTCACAGATCGAAGCTCGATTGGACGGATGGGTGGATTCGCTAGTGGTAATGTCCCCTGTCTCCTCTGTTGATGTACGAGATCTGACGGCGAGCAAACAGAATTCCTCGTACATCTTGTCGGATCTGCAACGCCCGTTGCACCCATTGTGGATCACACCGTCGACATCCGTTTTTCCGAGCCTGGATGCCAGTCCCACTCAACCATTCTACCCCGTCATATGCGTCTCCGCATCCAAACAGATCCAAGAGGGTATGGAACGGCGTTCGAACGGGTTCATCTACGTGCAAGGCTCAGGCGACGATCACGAGCTATGGGGACTGGTAAGCACGGCCGACGGAGGAGTCCCGATAAGGGCTGACCCATGGACACAGGGGCTTACGCCGAAGCTGTTTTGGACACACAAAGACGAACTAATGCAGAGCAGTCGATCGGAGTTGCCAGAGCTGATCAGCTCACTCCTGAGGCCGATCGGCGCGAAGCAGTCGCAGCAGCAGTGGTCAAACAAGCCCACACCTATCGTGCAAGTCGGCGGGCGCATCCTGATCAGTTCAATGGCGGATATACCCTGTGACTTCCCTCGTTCCCTGCCAGGCTCAGCTATCCAGCTCTTCTTCCTGATCGTTAGCGCCTCTCCGGTATCGCAAGGGGATGCTACCGAGGCAGACAACGTCCTCAGGCTGCATATGGCAGAGGGCAGGAAGGAGCAGATCCTCTACCTGCAGACCATCCTTCCTCGATCCATGGCGTTCATCGAGGGCTGCCTATCCAGAGGAGACTGCGTCTGCGTCTGCTGCGACAACGGCCAGGACGCAAGCGTGGGCGTCGCTCTCGCGGCGCTCCAGCTCTTCTTCGACGACAAAGGCGCGTTTGTGGCTACACACGGGGAACGGGATACATTGCGTAGGTCTATCGGCACATTGCATGTCGCAACTGAGTTACAATTCTTGACTAGGAAATACGGCGACGAAACGGTCCATCAGTACAAAGCTACAGTGGATCATATCGAGCAGGCCGGAGGCCAACCCTTCTCGAGCTACACTCAAACGCGTGAACGAATACATCCTCACGTCGCCCTCCTTCCGCCGCCAGCGAGGTGTGGAATGACTGCAGCCAACGTAAGTCACATCAGGCACGCGTGACCGCAGAGATCTTGACCGCGGCGCTGCTGTAGAATATGAGCTTGAACGCGCGAAGCAGCCCAGGGTTATACGTCGAGGGCACGACGTGGTATGTGCCTGGCTGCAGCGCGACCTGCGGCGTGGCTACGCCTGCGACGCCATCGGAGTACGGTCCCGACGTTGTTTTCAGCGAGTTGCGAGGCGCCTTGTGCTCGAAGAGGGAGACATTGATAGAGGCGGGCGGGGTGGTCTCCAAGAGTTGCAGCCGTACTCTGGAGTGCGGGCGGGGTGAGTGAGGATCTGGAGGGATATGCAGGAAGGCGTACTTGAGTTGTGTGGTTGTGTCGACCTGCACTTCGTAGAGCGGGTTTGTTGCGTACCGACTCGAGCTTGGACCCCCGCCGGCGGTCTCCGTGGTCCTGCGAACTCACAGTTGAGCTTTGTACAACAACGATACCATATGCCGCATTTCCACATACCACGCCCCACGTATGACCTTGTTGAACATGCCGGCGCCTTCCTGAGATATGGGCGTGAGCTCGAAACGTGATTGGCTCTCCACGCGTAGCTTGAACGATCCAAGTTGCTGCGGTTCAAAAGAGGATAAGACGAGAGTGTAGTCGCCCGCTAGCGAGGAACCATGTTAGAGTGAACTGGGACCCGAAGTGATAGGACACACCCGACAGGTCACGCGCCACGTTCGCGTACCCGAAGCCATATGGACCGGAGTGCGCAGCCAACTCATTGTGACCCATCCTTAGGATGATCGTTAGCTCGATCAACGCCGAGTACACTGTCACTCACTCGGCAATACGCTCTCCCTTGGACCACACTAGCGAGACGTTGATTGGGATATGTCTGGAGCTTTGCAGGACGATTGACGTGGCGGCTTTGGTATTTGCGGCCGACGGTGACTCTCCCGGGTATATTCGTAGGTGATACTGAGGATTGTCCATGAACGTCGGATGACCATGGTGGCCGCCAGCATTCTTGGAGCCGAACTCTCCGTCAAACTGTGTTATCTCGTGAGCATGGTCGAAGGACGGGCGCGATTATTCGACTAACCTCCTTCGAGTACATCGCCTTGGGTATCTCTTCTATCCAAGACACATCCGTATTAGAATACACAGTGATAGTGAAGCCGACTTCGCTCAGTCGTCCTTCGTAAGCAGCCACTAGATGCAACACCTGATCGGCTTGCGACGCGGTGTATCGCACCTAGAGTTATCGTCAATGTTAGGTCATGTTGATCTGAAGTATAACTTACGAGGGTATGAAGGTTGTTGGTATATTCACCCTGCGGGGATCATATGATCCAGTGTCCTCGACGTAATGTCAACGTACTCACCTTCAACGTCGAGGGGTTGATTTCCAGAGACGATCGACTCGGCTCTTCATCGCCATTAACAAGCAGAGAAATGTACTCGGAGGTGCGCCGGGTATCCGAGACATGGCGCGTCAACTGCACCCAGATGTCTTCGTCACCTCGTTGGGCCTTACTGATTCCTGTTCGCAACTGCAGCTGAAAGTGGCATGCTGGATAGGGACAGGATAAGTCGGTTTGATTTGAAACCAGGTCAAATAGGTGCGCACAGTACGCAGCATCTTCTTTGAGGGACATGGTTCCGGCTGTCCATGTTCCATGGAACGTAATTTGGCGTTCAAATATACCTGGATCCCAACTAAGATAGACACCGTCGAAGATGTTGCATACTGCGTCCCACGAAAGCTTGAAGGTGTCTGCGTATAGATGATATCATCAACAAGGTGTTCTGAGACACGCTGGATGTACGCTGACTTGTCGATTCCCGCTTAGGATCAGAGTCATGCCCGTTCATAAGGCCGGACCCCGAGTGAGCCCAGGAGTCTAGAATGGTCATCTCCCGCTTGCTGGGGCTTGATGAAACGTCTGGGAGGACTAATCAGCATACGTAAAGGCCACAGACGATTTTCGCTACCAATGATGGCATAGCAGTGAGCAGGAAGTAGGCAAATATCGTCCCAACATAGACCACTGGCATTCTCGCCAGTTCCCAGGGTGAGCATGCATGAGCCTGAGCGAATATCATGAGCGACAATCCCGGAGGCAACTTTTCCATACCGTTATAAAAGCCCTGTGAGATGCGGGCCCACAAGCGCTCCCGTTGAGAAGTCGAGCTGCAATTAAGAACGTACTGTCAACCGAGGACCCCGGATGAGACGCCTACTTACGATCTCAGATTCACATGTTCGGGTACCCATCCCGCGAGCGCGCTGCCAAGACGCAGTTAGGTTCAATGGGAACTCCTCTCACGCTCGGGCCTTACTGTAGGTCTACACATGAATCACTGGAAATATAATCGATATAGGCAATGGTTCTCATGGGCGGCAGAAACGACTTACGAGCCAGGGAAGTCATAGCCACCCATGAGCTTCATGTACTACGTCTTGCATCAGGACTACAGCTCGCTAGAGTTCGTGAAGAACCACGCACCGCCTTCTCCAGGAGTGATGGCCAAGTTTGTCGTTTGTTACCCGTAGATAGACACAAGAGGGTTCTGTCAGGATATTGGGGGAGCTGGTCGTCGATAGCTGGCATTGATTGCGGTCAGGAACGGCTGAGGAGGATCTACGGGATCTTCCCTACATATCTAATCGACCTATGATGAGTGGGGTGCAAATGTTCCGAACAGCGGGTACCTACGCGTCGGTATGCTCCATTGAATAGCAGACGAACGTGATAGATGACAGAGCTCGATTCCTGGGCTGACTGGCTGCCTTCCTCCGGATGCAAACATGACTGACCGAGCTTGAGACGCCAGGGGAAGTCAGAAGCTGCATGCCAAGACCACACATTGAGATTCACCTCGGTTTGAAAGCGCTGATTATGACATATACACACGGCTATTGCACCACATACGGAGCAATCCGTGACGATATGTTGGGCGATATCTTGCGGCTCGAGAGGTGAGCTTGCCAGACCCACTTGGCTGATATCAACCTTGTTCCAGACCGCTGAATGTCGCCGTTGGTCAGGCGATAGCGCGGGGTGCCTAGAGATGCCATGCCGCCGGATCAGCGAACGACCTCCGATACATTGACGTGAGGATTTACCTTGTGTCGCGCGTCATAGTTGCGTCTTCGTCCCACAGGGAGAAGCGAACATTATTCACAAGGGACGACTTCCTCAACACATACAATTGTTCTTCTGCAACCGCATCGGATCGTCAATACTCACGATGGAGTCACAGAAGTACGGACATACGCTCGGCGAAATGATGTCTTGTGGGCGGTCTCAATTCCGGCCGAGCCTGCCTAATCTTCTCTGCACGTTCTAACGCCTTTGCAGCGTGGTCTTTGCAGCGAGAACGTTGTCGTGCATCATCACTGATCTGACCCAAGTGCAGGAAGGCTTCGGCCGCCTTCACGTAGAGTCCAAATGCCCGATCAAAGTCGCCATGCAATTCACTCTTGGCGGCCTTGGAATATGTTGTCTGTGTGAGTTTGTGGGACATGAGCCACATGCAGACTTCAAGCTCTCAGACGTGCTCACCTCGGCTTCTTGTAGCATGAGTTCGGTTCGCCTGGATGCCACCCAGGGCATATCTCATCTGCACCGCGCAGCTCGCTGTTCGGTTTCATACTGTCAGATAGTGTGCCTTTCTGCAGATGAGTCGGCCTGGCGTTGCGTACTTACCATATATGTATGGGTCCCGAATGTATGGGTTCTGCGGAGAGCACGCTGGATATCACTTGCCTCACTGCAAAATCAACTATACAGCGATCTTGTACTTCTGTTCGTGACCCTGCTCGTCGCCGTAAGGACTTGTGAACTTCGAGGTTACGGACGAGGCTGTGCATGCGAGCTCACGTGATATGCGTAACACCTAAATCAGCGTTCTATTATGTAAGTAAGGCTTAAGCACATAAGTATATCGGAACTACTTAAGTTCTTATTTACGTAACTGCGTTACTGTACTTGAATACTTGAGGCGCGCGACCTCGCGCCACACCGTCTGCCACCAACCCCGGGCCTCTGGGTCTCTCCACACTCTACTTGATTCTCCATGTTATAATCCCAGTCTCCAGTACACCGCCCAGCTTTGAACCACCCCCACAGACCTCCCACGCCTGTCCACGCTTGAAGTCTATCAAAGCTGTCATGAAGACTAGTGCCGCTTGAGCGACGCAAATCGACGTGCAAGGTCTATCATCGTTGCCCGCAAATTCACCTGGAGAGTAGGTACTCGGGAACGACGTGGTAGTGTCCACACAGGTGAGTCTGGCATCGGGTCTTAAGCGCAAAGATGTCCAAGTAAAAGGGTCGACTCCGCATTCGAGCGTGGTGCTACCGCATGCATCTGAGCCCCCGATGTGTTCGAAACCCGACGTGCTACCTCACGAGGTCACCGTAGCACGCCTTAAGGCCGGACCTACATCATATGTAGACAAGACTCCCATATTGGCTTGTGCGGTCGAAAGATTCAAGGCCCGCGAGCAAAGGCCGAGTCTACAAAGGGCCCGCCGTGTGGCCATTGTCCATGGACGAGTCACGACGGCGTGGCCGCGCTCTGGAAGCCAAGCTTCACAGACGAGACTTACTCTGTGCTGAGCGGTCTTCAGATGTGGTTATCTCACGAGCGAGACTTCCACTCATTAGTGGTTGCACTGCTACAAGCACCTGGGCTCGAGATATATGCCCATGTGTGTGGTGCGGTGCATAAAAGTGGCAGGCACGGATGCATATGCAGGAGCATGCTCGGAGACGGAGGCAAGAGATCACAAGCATATGGGTATTGCCCATCCTGAGCGTTCCCTCATTCTCGTATGAGCATCAAAGAGTTTCTCGTATACTGACTCTCATTTAGATTGCCATGCTTTCAGCAATACTCTACCTGATTGGCTGGTCATACCTGCCGCATCTCGCAACCAGCAAGTTGTTGCCCATTTTCCATCGATTCTACCCTGCCCTTTCCGGTCGCCCTGCACCTCCTCCCAATTCCCCGCTGTATTTCCGCCATTATCGCTATGTATACGCCATTACAGTCATCAGCTACCTCTTCTACACCTTCCACCAAGCCGCATCGTCTCTGCCTCCGAATTACTATGAAATGCTTGCCGTGGACCCCGGCGCGGACGAGAATGCTTTGAAGTTGGCCTTCCGACAGTTTGCACGGAGGTATCATCCAGATCGTGTGGGTCCTCAAGGCGAAGCGCTGTTTATCAACGTGCGTGACGCATTCGAGGCGCTGAAGAACCCCACGACACGATTTGCATATGATAGGTTAGTCGACTTCAACGTTATAGAGATGGGGCTCAGCTCATGCTATGTATTACAGGTTCGGTCCGGATGTTCTGCAATGGTCTCATTGTACAACGCTGCGCGAGTATGTTCGACAAGGGCTCATGCAATCGGCGGGATTCTACATCGTTTCTGCCTGCAGCTTGTTGCTCTACTCGTCCATAGGCAAACCGAGTGATGTCGCATTCGTACGTCACTTATTCACCGGGGCCCTTTTCGCTGACTCACACGGCCTCTTAGTGGCGCTACCTACTGTTTGCTGGAATGCTCGCCTATGAACTGAAGTGCATACTGGGCCCATCGTTGTCGCCTCCGGACTCACTCTCATCTGTCTTCCTGTCTGAGCCTGGCTCAACGTCCCGTGTAGGCTTCCTCGCCGTCCTTTGGCCTCGTCGCGTCGCATGGCAGCATGTCCGCTTCCTGCACTCACTATTCATCTTCTCGTCGGCTGCGTTGTCTCAGGTGGCTCCCGTGCTATTCCCTTCTTCGCGAGAAGATATCGACTCTGCGCAATTCCAAGCGCTGCTCCAGCGAATATATTTCTTGGCTTCGATGATCAACCGCGATGGTGAGCATCAGTTTGCTTGCCCTCTTATCACCGCTGACGTCCCATATCTAGCTACTCAGCAAATCCATACCGAGCTCCACTCCGTACACGGCCCACAAACGCACACCACACCCTCGAACGCCACATTCGCCGTCCCAACGCCCTGCGACCGCCCCGCAGACGAAATCATGGACATGCTCGCCAGCGAGATGGAGCATATGGTCATCGAAGGCCAGCTCGCGGATGGTGGGCCGCTCAAGAGCGCCGTCGACAATGCCGTTGAGCGCAGGCGGAAGGCGGCGCAGGAAAAGAGAAGCCGCCCATGAAACGCTCGGAGACGGGTATGCTTTCGCCGACGCCATCGCCGCCTCCGGAGCCCAGTCGTACCCCGATGAGGCGGCTGCCTACTTCGCCGTTCAAGATGGCTAAGGTAGCGGTGGGCACATCATTGGGGTACGTGCGTGGACGTTCGCAGTCGCTGTGAGGGAGGAATTGTTTTGTATTATAATCTCACATCCCATCGAGTTCGGAGCCTGCTTCAACAAGACTGAATAGCCCCAGTGTATTGATACCAGTGTTGTGGTCTGATAGAAAGGTTCTCTAGACTGCTCCGTGTTTGAAGGCCGTTTGATCATCCGGCTCTCGACGTCATTCACGCATTGTTCTACTCTCATGTCAAGGCTCACCGCAATAAAGGTGCTTGGCGGGTACGTTCTCAAAGGCGTGGGTAAGTCATACCTCGCATGCTGCCTCCGTTTGCTTACGATGGACATCCAGAAATAGCGCAACAGCACACACCGGGAAGATGCATCGAGCGTGTGGATGTTTTCAACGTCGCATGCTGATATCATTGAGAAACCATAGAAAACTTGTCAATACATTGTTCGCTCGTCGCAGGGTGAGTGATCGTCCTAAGTTATGGGATAAGGACAGCCCTAAACCTGGCTGAATCACGATGGTCGACACCCGGTAAGATCTGGTATTTGACCATCTCGTCACTGCATCCATGGCCTGATTAGCTTGCGTGCTCAAAGACATGACGCTCCTTACGGACTCACCTGGCACAGATGCCGCATGCGAGAACCTTGAGGACAACCTGTCCCGCGTCTGGGTCATTCCAAGGGACGTTGACCCGCTTGAGAGCTCCGCCTTTCTCAAGGAAGGCATACGCCTTGTAGCTCTGTGGGTGAGAACCCATCTTCGTCGCTGGTTTGTTGGCTTACATGGTATCAATCTGCCTTCTTATATATACGAGGCGACCGCGCGCAAACCTACAAGAATCGACTCGGAGTGGCTCTTCATCCCCACGGCCTGCAAGCGTCGTCAGGAGGATTACTACCAGTGCTTACCCGATGGCCGATCCTTTCCCGAGCCTCATGGGACAGTCCACTTCTGACCGGGTGTGTTACGGCATTCGCAAGCAGATGCAGCGAGTGAATATGGTATGGATTGTTGAGTCTCGCCATTCGTTTGTTATTGACGAACTACACTATATGACAGGTGGTTGTCATAATTGCTTTCCCGTGTCAGTGTTGGCGAAGGAAGTGCTAGCTGAACGCTCAAGCTACGCCGGTCTCCGGTCATTCCGACTGCAATGGGTCGTATGCAGCATATAACAATTACATGGTATAGTACGTATTTGAGATACGTTGTAACACATGCGCTCCCTACATGATTTAGCTTATTGTAAATCCGAATGCCAGGACCTCGGGGTTCGCGTGAGTCCGGGTCGCACCCGGCAGAAAATTTCAGGTGTCGTGTTCGAGAAACGCATGACTGACATACATACCTATTCAGGCGCGTATGAAGTTGTCCAAACCTCAGTTTCGGGATGTATCGCTTCTGGCCGATATCGAAACGCCACCCGGCGTTGCCTTCCACTGAAGTAACACTGTCATCATAGAAGACCTGGGTTCTGCAGGCTCCTGGCTGATAGTCTCCATCGGACCGGTGCGCATCCAGTATGATGACTCTGCGATCTGCTCAGGGACAGGCATGTTGTGGGTGGCCTTCCTGCTAGACCCCAGCGCCCACGAAGGCTTCTGTGTGGCTCCCTGGACGTTCCTGTCTCAAATATCGACGATGAGGCTGTGTCAGCCTAACATGAGGAGTGTTCGACGAATTAGTACACCGCTGGCCAAGATCTGCGTGTGTTGCTAAACACCTTCTAGACTTAACCGTCGCGATCTCATCTAGGATACCCGCTCGAGCGTCACCTGAGGCACGTTTTCCATGGGAAATTTGCGGTCGATCAAGGTAAGCTGTCAAAGGACCCCGGGCAAGGCGCTTATAGGTCCGATCCGAAAACCCCGGATTTTGGGCCCTTATGTCCGCACGATTTTGACCCCTGTTATGTCCGCATCAGGATAGGACCTACCTGTAGGGGTGCTTTATGGCCGCATGACGGATCGGACCTCTCAAAAATGCGGTAAAATCGGAGAAAATGCCCAAAAAATCGCTGCATGCCCTACACATTGCGTCGGAGTAGACTACCAAGGAAAACGCCCACATTTGTCTCCCTTTATCGTCAAAACGGTTGCATGAGTAGCACATACGCATAAGCGCCGAGTACCATATCTCGAGCGCCCAACATTCGTAAGTACGAATGTACTCTAGGTGGCGCGTCACAAGAGTAGTCGCTAATTGACACGGATGGTGAGAGACAATCAAGCGGGCAAGCCAGTCGGTTGCGAGATGATAGCGAACATGGGAGGTCAGGAGTACTGATATGGTCCTTCATGACTTGCCAGTTGGTACTCGAGGTCGACGAAGAACCTGGCGCATCTTTAGAATGAGGTCGACTGTGACATTGTTTGTAGCTGGTCACTGCCAGTGGCCCTAAGGCTCGTGACCGATGGCTTGCTTGACCGCGGCGATGGGTCGCATATTTGAAGCTCGCGAACAATGGCGTGTAGCCGACCGAGACGAATGCGAATGCGAGAAAACGCTCTCGGTAGAGTACGAGAAATGCGCCCCTGCGAGTCAAACACTTGGCCAGTATGCCT